TCCATCAGCCAGCTGAGCCTGGACATGATGCTCACCTGCACACAAGAGCTAGGGTCTGTTTTTGGATCCCAACTTTTTTTAGAGAAAGGACAACTGTTAAAAGAAAAGTGACAGCAAGAGGCATATAATTTAGGAGCAAAACATGTAACACTGTAGTAAATGAACTGATAATGTTGGTAGGACAGGTAAACAAAGACCATGCACCATATGTCTTCCAGGTGGTGGTTTTGATCATGTCTTAACTAATATTTTAATCAGCAGGAGCTGAGATATTCTTTACCACTACTAGCTGGTGAAATCTTTTCATAGCCTCCTTTGCAATTCTGTAATTTAGTTTGTCTGGATTGCTAAGTGGAATGAATTGGCTGATCATCTTCATCACAAGGATTTTTCCTGACATACACAAGCATGTAGTCTAATTTAAGAGCATGCAAGTCTGTAAAACAGACCTGGATTTAGAGTAGGATCTCACCAGAAACAGAAGTGCACAGTCACAGCTTTAAAAAAAGTAAACAGAGCTATTATTCTGTGTTTCACTCACTGTTTCCAGAATGTGAATAGTAATATTCCTAATATTTCTGTTAAAGACAGTTGCAAGGGCATTTCCTGCAGACTGTTTACTAGAAATGTAATCTCCTAAGGTGTTTGGTGGACATATAAAAATTATTCTGTTGACTCTGCTTTTAATATTCCAGTCTTAGAAATGAGTCACCTGGCTGTGGACAGCTGGTAACTGTGAAGACATCTGCATATGGTTTCACACCAAGGTGACATGGGGAAAGATCTGTTTCTTTGGACCAAAGAGGAAAGCAATTCTCATCAGCCTGGCTCATGAGTGATGACTTGCTCACATGGACAAATCCTGGTTATCTTATTCATACTGAAAGTTACATCAAGCTTACTTACATGAGCAAAACAAACAGAATACACTGGTGGATGAGAGAAGGATTATTTGCTTTATGACTCAGGCCATGAGTCTGCCAACTTTGAAATAAATGGGAGTGTTCACAGATTTTTTTCAGTTTCAGTAAAACAGAGAAACAGACAGGAGCCTTTCTCCCTGTGTGAACTAGATGGATCCTAGATCTGATAGGCTGACATATGTTTTCTCCCTCAAAACAGCTTCATATTTTAATCACTGGTCTAATGGCTGTTTTCCACCCTTCATGGAAAACTACAAAGCACATTAACTTTGTCTTATATTTCTGTTTTAATTTTACTTTTTATTTTTAACTTAAATAAACCCCTCAGTTTCCCACCCAGTTGTGCCTACAGTCTGCAGAAGAATGGTCACTAGGAAACCTCTAGTCCAGACAGGGAAGAAGGCTTCCCTCTCTTTCAAGGGCAATACAGACCGAGGGCCCAATACAGTGGATTAATCAGGCCCCATATGAAAACTGGAAAAAATTAGAAAGTCATGAACTGGTTCTTAATTTTGAGCTTTCAAATAGGATGTACAAAAATGGCAAAGCACTGAATTAAGGTTGTTTTTTCAACTTGGGCTGCCTCCACTATGAAAGTGTATTGTTGCGTAAACACCTGCAAACATACACAGTGACTCAGACATTTACTTCTCTTTTTTTCTGAAATGTCAAGAATCCACCTCTGAGGGGTTTCCTACCCACCCCATTTCTAGGCTAATTGCAAGAACATTTAATGCATTCACACTGCTAGTATTTTCAGTAGAAACAACCAGTTCAATATTTTTCATCTTATTTTGGGGAAGAGGAATCATTTATTTCTAGACTTGTGGACTCCAACTTTCAAAGTGATTTGTTTTCTTCCATTAATAAGAAAACTTTTCTGCAATATTTGGACACTAGAGGATTTAAGGGAAAAAAAGAAATTCTATGTGAATGTAATATTATTCTACTTTTTTTTTTTTTTCCCTCCTCTTTAATAAGCATTGCAAAAGCTGAAATTTACTTGAAATAATGGCACAGCAACATTGATACAAACTCTATATTTGCTCTAAATACTGTGACAGATCCTCATCTAAGCTTCAGTGAAAAAGCACTGACCAGTAGAGTATCTGCTCCAGTAAAACCATTGGTATTGATCAGCTCTGACAGCTTCTCTCTTTCTTCCAGCTCCAAGTCTCCACTGCCATTATTCTTTTCAGCATGTGGGAAGCCACGTAGTAGGTGACTGTCTTGACCTCGCTTTTGAGCCAAAGTCAACACATCAAGAAAAGAGTTCACTAGAGCTGTATATCTACTCCAGACTGATAGCCAGAACATCTACTCTTGCTATTAAAGACCTATAGATCAGTCAGCAGAAAGTCTGCTAAAGGCCAGCCGTGTGATCTAGCATATGTCCAAGCTCTCATTTTCACCTTCATAACACTCCCATATTACTCTGTGATTCAAGATGCTTATGCAAAGACATTTCATAAGAACTGCAGTGTATGACTGAATCTTAGCAATTTACGGTGAGAACAACCTATTCAGTTTCTGCCACTGTGAAAAAGAAAGGATAAAACTATGTCCACCTAGTAATCTTCACTGGAGTCTCTCAAACTGTGGCCAACCACAGCTAATGCAACTTTTCTCCTTTAAAGCAGTTCACATGGCTGTTTTGTTTCACCTTTCATATCTGTGCAAAGAGGCAATTCACTTAAAAATTTTCATGTTCTCTAAAAACATAGTTTATGTACTGGCTCCTCAGTCTGATGTACTGAATGGTGCTATTGCATAAGAGGTTCAGGACAGCAAGCAGCAGGTGAGAGGCACTGCATTTATATTTTAATTAGCTCATGCCAGGAGTTTCTTCAGAGGTTACTATTTGTCCACATACATTATTAAAAGCTTACTCGTGTCCTTCCATTTCAAGGACTTTTTGTACCTCCTGAAAACTCCTGAAAAATTATAAGATTGTATATAACTAACTATTCTGAAACAGGACCAAGTGATACTTTTATAAATCTATTGAGCAGGAGTCGTAATTACAGGACTTTAGCAATAAAAATTTTAAATTCTAGGAAAGTATTATTTTAGGCACAAAAAAGGTCCTCTGGATCTTGTCTGATTTCATAAATTTTCATCAATTGTGAGTTTCTTAAATACATTTTCAGCAATCGCATTCTTGTCTAGAAATTAATTTTCAAAATGACATGTTCTGTGAAAAAACCCTATTGTTTTATTAATACCCTATTCCACATCATACTGACTATGTTAATAAGAAAAAATATTTTTGCATAACTACATACATGTAATTTTTTCCTATGGTCAGAATGCATTATAATCTTGAGAAGTTTCTTCTTTCTGGAAGCAGTAATATACTAAAGGAATGTGACAACTTTGAAGTAAACTAGTGGTATGGGTACTTCAGAGGTACTTCACTAACTTACGTAGATGTGTGTTGCACAGAACCTTACAACAAGGCAATGAAATTGGAAAGCCTTCCTGGAAATGCACTAATCTGGCAAAGGGTTTCTAATGGTTTTTCTGGTATTGATTTACTCACATCCATTTGCCAAGGCTGGGGAGATAGAACCACCGTGAGATTATTTAACGTTTGATTGCTTGTTTGCTCCTGGAGGATTCATGTACCTGCCAGTGCCAGTCTAGACCACATTGGCAGCTCTATGAACAAAAGGAGGGATTCTGGTATCAATAAATTTACTTCTCTGCAGCAAGACACCTATCAGAACTGACATGCACACAATACTGAGCCTGCTCATGCTCCACACAATATATATTTTTCTGCTGAAGAGAAGCTAGAACATTAATGAGATATTAGTGTTAATTGTGAGTGTGAGCCCACAGCATTTTCACACTGGAGTAAGCCTCACTCAAGCAGCCAGGTTCACTGAACCCAATGGGATTGTTTCACTGGGACTGAATGTCATGCAGGTGAAAACTCCCTTTTAAATTATTATGTCCTTGAAATTCTGATCCACATGGATAATAAGAGCTTGCAAGATTTTGCCCTAATTTTATTACCAAAAGATCTCAGTGGCTTGTGTATTTTTCTCCGGTTAGAGACTTACTATAGAGTTTCAAAGGCAACAGCCCAAGAATGCATTTTTTTTCTCACTTTTAAATTGGAGAGCATATAGACACAAATCCTGAAATGGATGCTTTAACACTTGAATAGTTTTATAAATTAAAAAATAATGTATTCCTGGCAGGCATCCTACCCCAGTTTACTCACAACATAGGTTTTATTACCCCAGCATCACTGATCGTGATTGTAGCTGCACAACAGTCATAAGTCAGAAAACAGTTTTATGTTGATGACTGAGCCACTGAAAATTAGTTTTTTCATGACTAATTTATTTTATAAAGGGAGACAATGCTATTTATGTCATGTAAATGACTGAGGGAAATAATGCAAATGACATTGGACATTTACAAATCCATTATGATAATGGAAATCTTGAATAACTTGTAAGAGAGTTCTGCAAGCTTCACTGTTATGTTTGGCATGATGATAAACTTCATAGCAAACTGTTGATCATTTTTCTCCTTTTTCATGAAATTCATCCTATACAGATGTGGTACCAAACCACTAAGATGCAGTGCAATTTAAATCATTTTATAGAGAACCAGAATTGCTTAATTTATACCTTTTTTCCTTATAACAGAACTAGATGTACTGGACTCTTAAGCCATTAAACCAATCTCTAGAGGTCTGCCTCTACAATAGATTGCTCAGTTAAAGACTTACCTTTCTTCTAAAAATGAGTCTCCATTTTTGTAATAATCTAAGTTTTACTCCTGCTGCAAACTGGAGATTCTAAGCAATCACAGTGTGCAATGTAAAAACTGAGTAAGGATGTCTCTGCTACAATATGCAATATTTAGTTCCAAATATTTATTAACTGGAGAATGCACAGTGATCTGAACTTATGTGTAGTTAACACATTTGGCAGTTTCTGTAGCTTCTGTTTCCTCCCCCACCCCCTCAAGTGGCAAACCAAGACTTGGTCAAACATGTAAAATGTACAGTAACCGGAACACATTCAGCCCAAGGAAGAAGGCACTGTGGGAAATTACCTTAAATTCAGTTTCAATGTTGGCTAGTCTGGCCAATTCATTGCTTAGCTCTAAAGCAGTAAGGACAGGGTCTTCACTGGAAAGAGACAAATAAGCAGCACTGGCTAATCCTTTGTAGGCATTCATTCTCGATCGAGAGTGACTAAAGGAATCTTTCCTCTGCTTTTCAATACATTCATTGCACTTGCAAAAATAGTCATGTGGCCTTTCAATCCGTGCGCCTTTTAGAAGTAAGATGTGAACAATTTCATACTCCTGGCAGTGGGCAGCAAGTATGATAGGGGTAATGTCATGGGAGAAGCGAGTTCCGTCTTCATCGTAAGCGTAAAAATCATCATCTCTCAGTTCCTGCTCAAGGGGACTGAGTGTGAGACGCTGTCCTTGTGCAAAGGCTGGGTGGTTCAATATTGCTTCTACAATGCGCACGTATCCTTTACTGATGGCTAACAAAAGTGCATCTCCAACTCGAGCGAGATTCTCCTTTTTGAGGAGGAGTTCCGTCACTTCCAGATGCTCATTCCCTACAGCTAACTGAAGAGCATTTTGTCCCATATAATCAACACAATTAAAGTTCAAGGTTTTTGATTCCTCCAGCATTTTTCGCACAACCGGAATGTTGCCATATTCTGCAGAATCAAGAAAACGTTCCTCTTCTGCAGTCAGGCTGGTGCCTTTCTCGTTGAACATGTAGGCTGGGCCCCGGATGGCCTGCCTCCGGCCCTTCTCACGAAGGGTTGTGTGCCTTCGATGCATGTCTTTGTAATTGCTGTTTCTCAGCCTGCAGAAAACCAGAAAGGAAAGTTGGTTATATTCTCAGAGATTCATAATCTCACATAACCTGAAATAAGGTTAGAAATGTCTCAGGTTAAAAATGTGATCAGGTCTTGCTAGATTTTTATAATCCTGGCCAGTTGCTTAAAATCATTTAGGATACATGCGGAATAAAGAAGATTAGTTTTCTGAAAAATGGATGAGCTCTCTTCTGACTTGGATTTCAACAAGAATGCACAACACATTCTTAACTTGAGAAAGAGAAAAAAAAATAAGTATGAACACACTGCTTTCCATTTTTATTGTTTAGAGTTTCATTACATTGTATTTAGGAATGATATCCACAACATTATATTTCTCTGAATTACTCTTCTAGAATTTTATCCCTGAGGACATGAGCCCTAAAGAAAGTTAACAACACTCCCCATGTCAGTAGACCTTGGATAAGGCCAATAAAGTTCCATAAACTTAAAAAACATGCTTCTAATTTTAGACACACAGTAATAAGGATAAATATATTGCATATTCTGCTAAGATTCAGCTGGTACAAGCAAGCCACCTATTCATTCATTGCTTTTTTCATGCTACATAATACCATTTTTCTGTTTCCTGATCTAAAGTGGTTTAATGAATGACTGCCTAATTGTCTCACTGAAATATAGTTGGCAGCTACTCTAAATATAAGTACGCAAATCCAGAGGCCAGTCTTGAAAAACACAGGAATAACTCCTGATTTAGTGTCTCATCACTCCCCATTAAGCATCTTCCAGAGAGCTACTGAAGGAAGAAAAGAACACGGGTATCTGACTATAGAGGGTGGATCAGAAAGGGTCATTAGTTTCTCCACTGATTATGTGGCTGAAATGCCTTCACTTGGAGTTGGTGTGATGGAGACAAACTACTCTTATTCTACCTTCTCTGGCACCCCCAAAGAAAACTATGCTATGTGCAAGTGGGCTCAAGGGGGAGTAAGCATACTGTTGTAGGAAATTAAATGAAATCCTAAATCTATCTGTGTTTTTAAAACATTCACATTCAGTGCCATCTCAGTGTTGGTGGTCTTTTTAAATTTTATTGCAGGAGCAACTCAACAAAACCATAGTCCCTCTCTGAGAGTCCAAGCATGTAGAGCTAACTGTCGTCCTAAGCCTGCAGAATGTGCGGTCTGAATAAAAAGATGAAAACAACACCTCTTTCACAAAAAGCATTTGCACTCAGTCCAATAGCAAGTCCTAAATCACTTGGGTAAAATTTTCAGGAGCCTCTAATCTGCAGTGGACAGATATAACAAATAAGCAGGTGTTAATGCTCAGTGGGTAGCAAAGGTTCATCCTTCCACACTCCATCTGTTCTCCAAGTCAGTTTTGACCTTCAGTCAATGAAAAGTTCATGTGTTTCTCTGAAAAAATACTACTGGAGTTTGAACGTACTGTTGTGAATGATGAGAGGGAAAGGTGCCAGGAGACAAAGTGGAGTAGCTACAGTGTCTTCAATAATTTGTAAGAAAATAATAACAGAATCAAGCAAAAACCCAGGAAAACAAATGATATTAGAAACCCAAAGTACCTAAAGTTCCAGGACACATAAATTCTCAAGATAGCTTTTCTAATGGAACTAACATATACATGTGCATCTATCATTCTTATTAATTACTTTTTTACTAATCTAGAACATAAAGCTGTTACTAAAATGTTTCAAACAAATTTTACAGAACATTTTTAGCAGCTACATTAGAATTTAAACAAATCTTAAGAAAGCAATTTTGTGACCGTACATGGTTGAAAGAGAGGTTCATAATTGAGAACCTTTCCCTGTAAGCTTTGATGCATCAGTATAACAACTTAATAGAAGCTGGAAGAAACTGAACATATCATTCCATGCTCCCCTGAGAAATAAAGTGCTATATGAATCTTAAAACTAATCCCTTCCACTGTGGTTGAACGTTGAAAAAGTACACAGAGATGAGGGCTGTAAGAATAATGAATGAAATATGGTGAAGTAAATGAATTCCCAAGACTACATTAAGTTTTCTATAAGAGAAAACAATAACAGCTAAAAAAATTTACTACTAACATATCTAACACTGATAGGGAGACAGAGGTCTCTAAAGCAGCAAAATGCCTGAGGTAAAATTGGGGTCCCTTTAAAGTCAACAGTACAAGTTCCATTGATTTCAGTAGAGTCCAAATTTTGCAAACATGTATGTGTGTGCAGGCACACACACAATGTCTCCAACAATTAGCTTTCATCTCTGCAGCAGTCTCAGTGATGCCAAGAAGATTAACATGTGCTTAAAATTAAGTATTTAACCGTATGCAAAAGTGCTTATCTAAACTGGAGCTCATGTCTTTAGCTATTCAGGACAACATTTAAGTTTTAAACCTGCACTGAAGTCTAACTGAGTTCAAGTAAGGACTATACATACAGATAAACACTTCTGAACTGTGACTTTGTTAAATGGGGACTTATAGTACCAGAAAGCACTTTACACATTTGCAGTCTTGGGATTTCCTGGATGTTAAATTAAACCTCTTAAAATGTTCAGCAACAAAAAAGGATGAGCTGGTGATGACTTAAGCAACTGTTGCTGGGATCAAGTGGAAACCAATCCAGCTCCTGTAAGTGCTCAGTGATGACCCATGAGTGTGACAGGACTGAACATGCCTAAATATTTTAGGGCAGCTAATTGCAATAGCTGCTTCAAGCTGGAGGAATTCCACTGGGCTTTTTTGATGTTCAAAACCCATGTATGGTAAGATATCTGGCAACCTTATATTTGTTGTTATATTTAATGCTCAGTACTGGAAGCAACTCAAATATTGATCACTTCCAGCAGTGAGGAATCTATTAGATATTTTGCCTGATGTCCAAGTATAATTCTTGATACTTTGTTCTCTTTTTCTTAGAAAAACAGTTCTCTTCTGGTATGCTACTACCTCTGAAAGACAACCCAGATATGTGGGACAGATAACCTTATAATCACTCCCAAAGTAAACATAAAACTACATACAATATTACCATTGGCCCAGTGTTAACATTCCTTTTTTCTGAGAAAGGAGGTTAGAATTTGGCCTAGAGCTATTCACACCAGTTTGTTGTATATGTAATACCATGCCAAAAGAAGAACCTTCATTTCACTTTCTTCAATTCAGAGAGAGGACTGGTTTCATACACTATTTCTAACAACAGAAATTGCAACAGAAAAAAAAAACAGAAAAGCATACCTGTCCTCCAGAAAGATAATTACCTTACAACATTGCTCTTATAATAAATGTTCTTCAGGGATGTCCCTACAGCACAGAGTTGATCTCCACTCCCTGCAGGTGAGGGCAAGAGCACCATAACTCAGAGGGCTTCACCTCAGATGAATTATGACCCCTAGTCTTCCTCATGAGCAGAGAAGATCAATATCTCAGCTATCGCACTTTATCATCTTTATAGAGAACAAGAAATGAATAAAAAATTTTACTTTGAATAATTTGACAAGAAATGCTTAGCTATCAACTCCTGTTCTGAAAAGAAAGTTATAATTATGTTTGACCTGAGCACTGAATCATAATAAAGAAGTGGCAGTGCAAAGAGTAATATATGCAGCAGCTGAAGATCTTGGAAACTGAACCCTACTGTAATGTCATGGCTATTCTCAGCACCTCTTTCTAGCCTGCACTTCAGTTACGTGCAGACAGGTTTAGAACTAATCATATTTGCTGAGTGTGTGTAATGTGCCCTCTTAAAAAAAAGTAATTGTAACTTGATTGCATTTATCTTACCATTTTTGTTTAAAGGTTCTTTGCATTGAAATTACTCTGGATTTGCATACTTTATTGAGACAGCTAGTGATAAAACTCATCAAGCACTGCAATTAAATATTGTGTTTTTCTAGGAAAGAATGCCAATGTATGCAGTGTTTTTGGAGAGAAAATGGTCTGGGAAAAGAAAACCAAAATTTCAAGGCCTAAGTACTGCTTGCAGTAAAGGACATCCAGCTTTACACAACTGAGGGAGCTGTAAGTTGTCTGGACCCTGTAGTGAGTGGAGAAGAATAACAATTCCTGAGAAGCGATTTGGCTCTTAACAAATCTTCCTCTGGGACCATTTCAGTTTCCAATTAAAGGGGCTAAGAGTAGGTCCCTGCAGCTTGCACTGACAGTACTGGGTGCTGAGACACTTAACATCTGAAAAGGGAACATGGCGTAACATGAGATTTGTTCTTAATGTGGTGTCACCGAAGACACTGTTGAAACTGAAACTCTCCTTTTTTATAACCACATCCCCCTAACTGGTCTGAGTGCCAGATGTGTAGAACAAGGTAGACATAGGAAGGAAGCTGGACTGCTTCATATTGAGCTTCCCCCAGCAAATGTCCTTTCTCCTTGATACTCCTTGCCCCAGTGCTCCAGACTATGCCACACAGAACCTTCTGGTGCCTCACCAGTCCCACACCAGAATCTATGGAGGGGAAGGGCTACCTCCTAGAGCTAAGGCTTGGAGAAAATGTTCAAAGTCCTAAATGTCTTAAGAGGCTAAATTGGATTTTTTACACGTGGCTTTGAACCAGAACCTTAGAAGCATGTAGGACAGGCTGAATAGTATTTTTTTCAGTTTTTAAAACATCTGAAGTCTGAATAAGTATTGAAATCAATGGGTATTAGGTACTGCAGCAATTCTGGAATTCTCAGGTGATGTCAACCTTCACTTGTCTTAAAGCCTAAAAAATGAGCAGGGCATTTACAAAGGCAGCTTTAGGAACTCTGACTACACTTTGGGTTTTCTTTCACTCAGTGGAGAGAGGTTGGTAGAAGTCTCCCTGTACCCTTTCAATGGCCCCCTTTGTCCAGAGACTACAGAAGCAACTTAGGATATATAACAACTGCTATGCCCCACGTTGAGTAAAGCAACCATCAGAATAGGCTTTGATGAGACTTGACTCTGTCTTGTTGAAAGGAAATTTCAGTTTCTGAAAGCCATTTGAAAGCATTACCCTTGGTTCCTGCAGAGCCTCAGAAACTGTCAGATTGACACTTTACTTATTATTTTTCTTTCTACTCACATCAATATTTCTAAAAAGGATCAGGGCACATGAAGGCTGCAGACTCCCTGAGGCCTCTTTGGAATTGACACTGCTCTTATACACCAAATGGACCGTTTTTCCCTCTTAACCCTTGTTTCCACCCAGAAAATCTGATCATCCAAGACACACTATAAACATGAACAAAAATTCAGGAAATTAAGTTCTACAAGCAGACAAAAATTGACATAGAAATGAATCAATTTAAGAGAGTAAGTCAAATTGTTCAGAGCAAAAATAATAGGATATTTAGTCAAAAAAATTGCAACATATTTTGAAGCAGACTCCAGACTTCAGGTCAGGAGCACAGACTGAACACAACTACACACATTTATTATCCTATATGCAATAAGTTACTCCAGTGTTCCAAATGATGCACAGGCATATATTACCAGAGCTCTCTGATACCCTCTTTTTTTTTCTAATATCTTAAATAGCTTTCCAAATCTTACCTTAAGTCAAGATTTATCTTTAAGACAAAAGTTTTAAGTATCCTTTTTCACATATTGATGACTTACTATGTATGCAGGCTCAGTATCATTTGGGGTGGTTGCTTTTGATTAACAGCAGCTTATTACAAAGTTTTCTGTGCTTTGAAATGGTTAAGTGCTATTTAATTTAATCTTGGGATGTCCAAAACACTAATTCAATACTGTTAGCAACATGGTCATTCTCCTACATGAAAAGTGTCTAGGGACAATCAATAGAATTTTTTTGGCTCTATTCAGGCTGTTCATTCACTTGAATAGTAGTCTTACAGAGCAGTTGTAAGAAGAAATATCCCCTCCCCATAATTTCCACTGCACATATAGATAAAAGAAAATGATATTTCAAGGTCAAACTTTGAAAAGAGGCTTCTCACCTCAAAGAAGTACAGGTGTAGTCAGCAAAACCACACCTTTTCAAATCCCTTTAAGATATGGCAGCACAAGATGCATGAAGAAAGACAAACCAGGCCTCTCATGCTATTAAAGGATGTTGATATATGATACTAACACTCCCATCGTATTCTTGTCATGAAGGATAAGGTCTGAGGCCAATAACCTAGAAACATTGAGGACAGACCACCAAATATTTACCAGCACCTAAATTTTTATGTCCTCCCTGATCTCTGTTAGAAAAGAGGCGGCTCTGCCTTGTGGTTTGAAAAAAGTAAATGGAATTTGGCTTTCTATCAGCTATCTTTCAGCAAAACCCATCCACTGCTTCTCAGTTGTCTCAACCTCCCCTTATAAATTAAGCATCAGCATTTTCTTTCCCATTCCAAAGCAATGTCATACATCAATACAAGACTTTTATAGCATCAGAGGCTGTAAAATAATCACCTTGGTTCTTGTATTCAATTTCTTCTTGTGTTACGATATATGTACTGGGTTTTTTTCTTTCTTTCCTTCCCTCCTTACTTCCCCTTAATATATGATTGTGAAGATGACTGCTTATTACAAAGGTACCACAGAACACATGTAAGACAGATATACCAAAACCAAGTCTATTTTTACATTGTCTCCTATTGTCTGTTCAGTAACATGTTTGGCCACCAAATGAACTACCATGACAAGAATAAGTCTGACTTTTTTTTTCAAATCTGGCTTTGGAAATTGGGAATAATTCACCCTCACTGTTGAAGCACTTCAAAACTCAGGCTCAGGTCATACTGAGAACACAACAGAGGAATACCTGTTCATTCATAAATTTTTACTACTGACGAGAGCAACAAAAAATATTTCTAATTGTGCAAGCAGGGGGCAGTGTAACGCTGATTTTCAACAAACAATTCTATTAAAAAGAGAAAGAAAAAATCTCTGAAAATAACTAGTAATCTCGGTTCTGGCTATATTTATTTTCCTATTGCTGCACACTCTTCATTGCTCATTTCATAGTTATCTCAAGACATGAAAAAAACGTGGAGAGAAGGACTCCCGACAACCATTAGACCGAGTACGCTGCAACAGGCATGATACAGTGTCCCGTATTTACATCTCTCATTTTTCCTCATCTTGCCTTGGCCACGCCGTTTCCAGGAAACACAAACCTTCAAAAAATTCCCCCAGCTACAAGAGAAGACAACATCGTGGCTCTGAACCATGTGGCTGGTAACAAACAAGAAGACCTTCAAGGTTACACTGAGACCGAGCACGTTTGCACAAATGCCGAGGGCAGAAAGCCGAAACAAGTTCACACGCACCCACCCACCTCACTCACACCAGCCCGTACTCGGGCTTGTAGGAGAGCGAGTCGCACCGAGACACCTCTAACCTCAAGAAAACTTCCCAGCATGTAACTAGGGACAGGTGTTAGCGCCAGGGCACTTCTCAGGGGAGCTGAAGGGAGAGGCGGCTCTGGAAGCGGCGGAGCCCCGCGGCTGCCCGCAGGTCTAGCAGCTTACATGTGCGCGTCGGGGCCGGGTCCGCTTCACTCACTCTAGATGCGCGGGGCGCGGCGCGGCGCTGCGCGGGCGCGGCCGCCCATGGCGCTGCCGCTGTCCGCGGTGCTGAAGTAGCGCTGTCCGCGGTGCTGAACCACCCGCTCAGCGCGGCCGGCCGGGGCGGGCGCTGTCCGCGGTGCTGCAGCCGCCTCCGGCGCGGGCGAGGCGGCGGCTCATCCTCATCCCCTCGGCGCCGCTGGGGCAGAGCTCCCCGGGAGCGCCCGGGATTGGCTTCCTGGAAGCAGAGCCTGCTGCGATGTTGGCATGTGAGTTGCGTTGTCCTCCCCGTCTTCCCTCCCTCCCTCTCCCCACGCCGTTGTCCTCCTGGAGGGGGGTGGATTTGATGGGGGTTGTTTCGGCGCTCCCCCTTCTCTGCCGGAGCTGGGCGAGTCCCCCCTGCGCCCTCCAAAGGGCTGCCCCAGAGCAGGCGTGGCGAGAGAGCCTTCCTGGAGAGGGCAGGGCTGCCTGCAGGCTCACCAGCGGGGCGGGGTGCTCCTTCGGGGGCTCTCCCCCTCACCCGCCGAACGTCTGGCTCAACTGGGCTGTGCCGCCCCTCCGCTGGGAGTGGTCAGTGTCACTTCTCCTCGTCGGCCGTCCCCAGGTTGAGATCGTTTTCTGCCTTCCCTAGGAGATCTTATCTCTTAGGGGGGTGGCCAAGGAGGGATGTGTGTGCATGTGTGGTGGAACTGGGGGGGGGGAGGGGGGTGGGGAGGAAGGAAACCAACACGCAAAATAATTAGTCAATGCAATCAATCCCCTTCTTGTTTGGCAGAGGAGAGCCACTGAAACAATAACTTCAAACTGCACCCGGGAGCGCCGGTGCACCCTCTGTGCTCTGTCCTGAGTGGTAAGAGTAGGTGTTCTTCCCGGGACACCTTGTGATACTCCCATCATCTCCCACACAGGGGTGTCTAAGCCCATGACCTTCCCTGTCCTTTCCCACCAGTGCAACTCCCCTGCCCACCCGCTCCTCCTTACCTGAACACGGGGATCCCCACATCATCACACACCCCATTGCAATTACAAATAACGCCAGCCCGTCTCACCTGGCATGTCTCCAGGAGTTTAAGCCTGGAAGAAACCCTCTGCTTGGAGATATGTCAGTGAGAGGCAGTACAGGGCTCTCTAAACGGCACACGCAAGAGGATGGCAGGATGTTGATTTGCCCTCAAGTTCTCCCTCTCCCACCCCCTCACAGCACTGGGTGAAGTGGGGGCACTAATTAAGAGATTTTTCACCAACTCTCAGTCTCCAATCAGTGTAATCAACTGGGCTGAAGACATTATTTGATGGAAACACCTGAGGGAAATACTGAACGCAGGCACTGGCTGTTTTAGCAGGGACCACAGAGAGCTTGGTGTGGCTTCTACAGCAGCGCTATAAGAGCATCACAGCCCAGCTTTCAGAAACCCTTAAAGACAGCTGGTACAGAGCTTTCATCCCACATCCCCAGGCAGCTAAGTTACCTCCACCAGCCTGAGCTGTACTTGCAGTTGTGAGGAGGGTGATCCTTTTCCATTGAAAGGTTTTATGGCTTGAATAAGGAGGAGAGTGCATTAACCTCTAACTATTGTGGAAGGCACCTGCAGAATTCATTGCAAAATTCATTTTGACACTCCCTTCCAGCGCTGGTAGCTCCTGCACTCTAAAATGCACTGACTGCTTTGTTCTTGCCCCCATTTATGGCTTCTTGGAGTTCACTGAAAAAGCCAGGAGGGCCCAGATAAGTAAACATATTAGAAGGTTGTGAATGTTACCAGATTCAAGAGAGAACAGTGTTCTGTGGAAAAAGACATCCTGGGGGGAGAGGGGGAAGGGAATAAAAAGAAAGAAAGAAAAAAAGACTCCACAGCTATATACTCACTTATGCTGTTGAAATAAACTTGAAATGATGTATTGCTGCACAGACACAAATCTCTGCTATAGGTAGCTAATACAGTTTAGGGGTAAGAACAACCCCTCTCTTTGCTTTTGGACAACTTTTTCTCTAAGCAATAAAATAACCCTCCAAGTATCTTGGTATTTGTCTTGCCCTTCCCTCTTCAGATTTGTTGGTTGGTTGGTTGGTTGGTTTTTTCTGCCATTCAATACTTGTCTGTCACCATAACAAACTCATTAAGAATCAAATATGTTTACAGGCTCTTGCATTAAAAGTATTTGTTTACATTTCCTTTCTAAGGCTTAGGAATACTTGCAAAAGGTCATTTTTTTTTTTTATTTTTATTTTTTTTTTAATTGGGTGGATGGTATGTGAGAATTAGACAAAGCCAGCATTACTTTTAATTATTTTATTCATAGACAGTATTGCCAGGTTATCTGAAAAAAAATCATTTTAGGGTTGAACATGTGATTGATTTGACTAAAAGTATGTAATCTTTCTCCCATATATATCCTGAAAAAAAAAATATCAATATAGAATCAATGTACTGCATTACTGTGACATGTGTCTGTACAGCTGCAATTATGTCTCTTAATCCTTCTTATTTCTAACTCCACTGGAAGACATTCGCCACTTACATTTTAATGTACATATTTTTTCCTAAAAAAATAAAGTACTCAAGCCCCAGCAACGTCTAGCACTCAGGGTTATCAGGAGAACCTTCTTAATAATCTTAATAATCAACAGCTTACCCACTCCATAAATCTGCAGCTGATAAAATACTGACAGCACTCCCAACTGCAATTAATTATGTCAGATTAACACATGTGAAGCGAAAAAGTGAGAAGGAAAACGGGGACTGAGGAAGTCGATAATCTGTCATTATCAATGCACATTAAAAATATTCAAACTACAGTTGTAGGTTTCTGGTAAGACACATCTCAGAATTAAAGGAAACCCACAGCTACAGAACCAAGAAGTCTTACATCTGGCTCTCTTAAAAGGCATTTATCACAAGGTTCTGAACTTCTACAAATTGCTTTTCATCTTGATTAGCTTTGCATTTTGCTATTGCAACAGTTTCACATGAAAAGAGTGTGCTGAGAAATCTATTTCTAATATTACACAAAACCGTTCTGACTAAAGTCTTATTGACTAAAGAATTACAGAAAACTTGGTGGTTCTTTTTCCCTGCACATCATCAACTCTTTACATTGTCATACACTGTACCAAAAAGGTCCTTTATTGACTAAAGAATTACAGAAAACTTGTTGTCATTTTTTTTTTTTTTTCCCCTGCACATCATCAACTAGTTGCATTGTTGCACACTGTATCAAAAATGTCCTTACCTCGTCAGGGGCAAGAACAACCCTTGTATGAAGGAATCAAGTGTATCTTGATAATAAATATAAAAAAAATATATATTTGCTTCACTCATCTGTATCTTTAAAACTAAACAAAACACATAGTAAATGTTGCATCCTACAAAAGCACGCATTTCTCTGCAGGAACAAAAATGTGGAAACAAGCAATTTTAGAAGTTGTGGAATTGTATAGTGATGCCATGATATTGAATGAATGAAATATGAAGACTTCAAATTCCTCTCCAGATTTGTAGTTCTGAAAGCTTTTGAGTTCTTATTGAGCTCAGAATTCTTTATCCTCAAATATTATTGTATTCCCACACATATTGCAGAAAGAGAATTGCATAAGAAGGCCTTAAAATGAATGTAAAGTTCTACTTCTGTTTGCTCAGATCTGATGTTTCAGACAGTTGTCCATATGACACCATAAAAGAATGAAGAAAGATTTTTTGGGGAAAAAGCTGAAATGAAATGGAACAAACAGACTCAGAAATCATGGTATTAAACTTCTGATTAATTTTCAGAGTAGTTGAATCTCCAGTTACTCAGCAGAGTCTTCTCTGCTCTCTCTTGATAATTTCCACTCTTCAAGCCAATTAACTGTTGTCACAACCAGAACAAACCAGAACACAAGTGGAAGTTCAGCAATGATTTGTCAGAAAAGTTTTTGCTTCTATTGATAAACATTTTTTCATTAAAAAACCGTTTTGTCCAGACGCTACTGTTTCATTTAGTCACTGAAAACCTTGACTTGATCCTTCCTTCAAACACACACATGTGTTAGGCACCAACTTTTCAAACTAACCATCTCAGTTAAAATATAAACAATAAAGCAAAAGCATTAACAGTACAAGCAGGCTTGGTGGGGTTCCATCTTTTTCCCTTTTTGCAATGCTCCCTGCTTCTGTTCCCCAGACCTGAAATGAAAACTGCAGGATCATGAGAGAAGAAGCAGAGTTCTGCTGTGCTTTTTGGAGAAGCTGATACAAGAATGGTGGGGAAGGAGGAAGGGCTGAAACCAGCCAGCACTTATAACTTTTGAAAGACGTGGGCAACCAAAAGCATGTATCACTTTCTACCAAGCCCATGTAAAACCAGCCGTACCAACGTCCTACTACTTATCACTAGGTATTAGCACATAGGCTTATCTTTAAAATTTAAGAAGATAATTGCAACACATATAGAATGTATTTCTAATTATTTCTGGAATGGTACCCACCTGAACCAACTTCAATGCAAGGATGGAAGGCAAAATATTGCTTTACACCTTTATATTACTTTTACCATCTCACAAATTTTCCGTTCTCCAGAGCTATTGGTGGTGATGACTGGCAGCTTACAAGAGTACCTATGAATAGTAACCCCGTTGGCTGTACAATCCAATCCAATATCCTTCCATATGAAAAGAAAAAAAAAAAAAGAAAAAAAAAAAAAAAAAAAGAAATAAATGCCCAACTGTCCTCGTGTTAGAAAACATAATAAGCAGAATACATTTGATTACTCACTGCATGTCTAGATGCGAATCATTATCATTAAGATAGTTTTATTTGCTTCAGTGACACTTTTGGCTCTCTTAACTTCTTCCTTTACTGTCCTAACTACTTCAGGATAACTACTAAAACTAGAAGCAATTTACCCATAACAAAGATAAATTTTATTGTGATATCCCTCAGGTAAGAGAAGCAGCAGCAGAGCAAAAGTGATGGGTTAATTAAAGATACTACCAGCAATGGGATTGGTTTGAGAAGTGCCTATTTCTTTTAACCCATTTTATTTCAAGAACAATTTATATGATAATCAGATCTGGTGCATTTTTTTCCCATTAAATGATCCTTACATGTCAAAAAATAAGTGCTCTTAATAAATCAGACAGTTAACATTTGAATCAGAAGAAACTCTGGAATGCAAATAAATGTGTTTAATTTCTTGCAGAACCTCATTCCCATTATAAAGTTATAAATACAGAAAAAAAATTATTTATGAGTTAAAAAACTAGGGAAACTTAAACTGGAAAGACAGAAATTCTTTTCCTTTCTTTTAATAAACATAATATATCCTCTTCCTTACATTACAGGTTCATTTTCTTCTAAAAGTTATGACTAGGTTTTGTCA